AATTGTTCCATTCTGGCTTGAGTGACAGTAGTTTTTATATGTCTAGTTTGTGGCCTGTCTAGAAATTATGAGTTTAGACACCAAAATCATATCTGTAGCTTATTTAGTTTCAATTTTATGCACATTTTAGATAAATTTGGCGGCCATTTTGAAAAATTTGTATACAAAGAGTAAAATCAAGTGTCAACAGGGCTTAGGGTGACCAGAAGGGATTAATTATGATATCTGGCTATGTGGATTGCTTCTAACATTCCACTCCCCCTAACTCATTTTTTCAGATTTTTTTTCTAGTCTATCAGGTACATTGTTTTCGTAAGTGCTGCCTGAATATGTGGGGTGATTTAATTATTTTCTTGGGTAAAAGATTGATATTCCGTAACCCTGACCTTGCCCTTTGACCCTTTCCTCCAAAAATTGAATAGTGTCTTTCTTTGGTAATTATGTACTATTTTACTAAATTGGATGATGATGATGATTTAATAAGTTTTTGCGTAAGCGTGCTAACAGACAGACAGAAACACAGACAGACAGCAGTGAATGCGTAACCTCCTTGGTGGCAGTAATAATAATTTACTATTTTATACACAGAATCATTGACGGAACTTTTAACTGAGTACTTTGCCAAATTTGGTTCAAAATGCTGCTGTTTTTGGGATGTTAAAACCTACCTGGACATACTGAATGAAGAAGATATTGCTCCATTTATTCAGAGTTTAGTTCCAGAGCTGGAAATGGGGGAATTTGGTAATTTACAGATAGCGACAAATGTAAGTTTAAATGATGGTTTATATTACAATGTGAAAAGTTGTGGTGCTTTAGATTGATGGTTAGGGTGCTTGCTTTCCAATCCCAGGGTCCTGGGTTCAAATCCTCTGATACAGGATACAGTAGAACCCCCTCCTTGGGGTCACCCCTATTAAGAGGACACTTTTCCACCATGAAACGAAGGAAAGTATATCTTTTAACACTACGGCCAACCCCTATATGGGTAGTGGAATTTTTCTGTTAAATGGAATGTATTAAGGTTCATAGAATTCTTCTGTAAAATTGAATGTGTTTAGGTTTATTTCAGTCCATTTCATTTAACAGGCATGCCAAGTAAAGTGTGAATGTAGTTTTATCAGGTAATTGGTCATCGTTTTGACAGATGATAGCACCATGTCCAATAGTGGGCTATGATTAGAGTAATTTTGACCTAGTTTTTACTCATGCTCCTATTAACAGCCTATTATTTGTTTTTAAAGGAAATACATTTGTATTCCTGTTACTGTTAATCTTGCAGGACAACACCTTGTTTCTGTTTGTTATAATCTTAAGTCAACATATATGTATAGTTAGTCTATTCCTCAGGCATCCTCCTTAAAGGCATTCATTTCCTTACTTATGCTTTTCATTTTTCTTTCAGACAAAGCAGATCCAACGACATCTGAGCTGGCTGCAGTTGTGCCGATATCTAGGACTGCATGAGAAATTATCCAATGAAGAGAAGTTATTACTGGCAAAAGACTTATGCAAACGACATATTGCAGGGCTGTGCCATGGCGAGAAGCTCCTGTCATCTGACTTACAGTATAGCGATGATTACTGCATACTTGCTGCTCATATTCTTATTAGTATTTGGCGAGAAATAGGTGGAGTTTTATAATTATATTAAAAAATAATAATTTAAATATTGAAATAATATATATTTAAAAAAATTGTAAATAATTTTGAGAGTATCTTTAAAAAAATTTTCTATCCATCCAGGGCACTTTATTTTCATGCTGACCACCTTGTGTGTTATCATTATATTTTGCCAGACTTAAGAACTATAAGTGTGTAAGAATTGAACTGCAGTATTCACTCAGCTCATATTATTATTATTATTATTATTAATATTAATATTATTATTATTTTCTGTACAGGTGCCCTACCAATACTATCCTAATTAATATTTTTATTTATGTTGGATGATAAAAATTAACATTTTTGATTTGTTATTTCTTAAGGTGACTCTTCAATATTGCTTGATCTATGTGTTATTCTTGAACGAGCCAAGTCAAGAAGTCCATCCAATCACCACATCAAATTATTACTCATCAGATTGTATTGTTTATTAGGTAAGTGGTCAATAATAGTTCATATTATTATAGTACACTGCTATTGCTAATCACAAAAAATGTTATTGTCTCTTTAACGTAAATTTTCTCTCCATTGGAATAATATACAAATATAGACTGCTCATGAGAGGAATGGTGAAATCTATTGCCCCAAGGTGATGTGGAGAACTTAGCCTATAGGCTACGGTCTCCACATCACCGAGGGGCTATAGATTCCACTGTTCCCCGAATCTAGAGCAGTCAATATTTGTTTTATATACCATATATAAAGATTCTACGAGACCTAAAAAAGTAATGAAAATAGAACATACCAAGTAGGCCTTGGCTTACTTCCTAGGCCTAGGCGATCAAAGGACTAATATCTCTCAGTGAGTGTTGTGGAGGGCATGTTTCCTATACCTTATAAATTACATAGCAACGCAGCCTAGAGATTGCATATCGCGCGGCAGGGCAAAAAAATTCTATTTGTTGAGGGAATAGTACTTTCTATTGCTCACTTCTTAACCAATCAGATGCCTAGAATCTATGTATGAGGTATATAACAATACAATATGTTATATTTATTTATATTCTTTTATAGGTGCTTTTGGTCCAATTCCTGATCTGTATGATGGAATAGAAATAAAGCATATTCAACAAGATACCATTAGGTAAGCTAAAACAATTTTTTAATTTACGATGGCCATAACAAACGTATAAAATTAAAGTCAATGATCATGTATTTTTATAGCACCCTCCACAGTAGACACCATCTCTAGGTGGTTTGAAGCCACAAGAAAAAAAAATTTAATTTATGAAAAAGCGCAAACACGAAGGGGAGGAGGAAGGTGCACACCCATAATTTAGGGATAGCATCACCATCATTACCGTGTACACGCATCATTAAAATGACAATTTATTGGTAATTGACATGTCGACAAGGACGCGAAGCCCCGCCCACAAAGTTACGAAAACCTTAGACAATGGCGGCTTGACTTACCAAGTTGGCGAACATTTCTGCTATTAACCTTCTTTAAGAAATAGAATTCAGGGTAGGCGGTATGCAAATGAATCATACATTCATAGTGTTAATCTATTTCATGGAACAGGTGGGGAAATTGTTGTAAAAGCCTCTGTATTTCACTCCCAAAGGAAGAGGGAAAAGCGGCATTCAGTCAACTTCATTGTTGGCAAAGGCCAAGTCACTGATGCACACTGCGCTCGTGTAAATCTGGGTATCTATAACCAAGCATAAACATCTAGGCCTAGGCTCACGTATGTTTCGCGTTGACAGTCAGCTGTCTAAGGAAATTAAAATGTCGGAGAAAAAGTTTTTGATTACGTGACTAAATGACGCTCGCTGATTAGTCGGTTTATCTGTCAATCAAATCTCGTCGAGTTGTTAATTGTAAACAAAATCATGACTATCTTACAGCTACCAGGTAACAAGGTTCATACAAGCAGTTGGCCATTTTACTGCCTCTCAGCAGTTTTACAATGCAATCTTAAAATTCTTCACTTCAAATCACAAAGATGTAAGTATAACTACTGATAAATACATTAGATTCATATATGTATATTTTTTTATTAATAATTTGAGCTTCCTATTTGCATTTTTACACCTATGTAAACATGCCATTCAGGTTTTATTTAAACAGCAATATAACTTACTATTTTAAGGAAAGATATGTCCTGCAATGAAATATATACATTCATTTTCTTGCACACAAGTAAATTTTATAGCTGAGGCCACTATGCAATATATGTATTCTTCCTTTGATACCGATGTCTCAAAGCGCTTGAGGTGTGGACTAGCTCGAACGATAACTTGCTACTCAAAGGGACTCTTTGTTTGTGATAGCAAGCTGGTGAACCAGTACCACCTACTCTTGTCTGTCCACAACAGGGGCTGTATGAACCACCGGGGTAACCCCCTACTCGTCTTCAAAGACATACTGGTTCTTTAAAGTGCACATGAGCCAAATTGTGTACACTGGGCCTACGGTTTATAGTCTGAGAAGACGTTCCACCACGAGAAACATACTGTCCCACCATGACAAAAGGAAGCAATGATGTTTGCATTGCTGAGTAATTAAGGAATATGGAGCATGTTGATTTTGTCCCCTGCTTCCTTTTCTGGTGGTTTTTACTGTATTTTTAGTCTCTTACTTCTTTTTTGTGTTGCTAATTACTTGTTGAGTGGGATTTGAACAAACAAATATATCAATATGTTTCAAATTATTAGTTCTTTGATAGTGACTAAAAAAACTTGTTTTTGAAAAATTGTCAATTACTTCCTTTTGTCATGGTGGGGCAGCATAGGCAAGCATTCCGTCCGACATGATGGCTGTATTTTGCGACGCCCCTGCCTTAACCACTCAGCCATTTGACTTGCCGTTAATGATATTAAACTTTTTGTGTTTTCTGTTTATATTCACAGACCAGTGAGTATATCATCACAGCCTATAAATTTGGATCATTCCAGAAAATTCCAGAATTTATTGAGTTTAGGAAGCGAGTGAGCAACTCAATAAGTTTCTCTGTAGTAACCATTGAAAAAATGCTTCTGGAAATTATGACAGATGCTGAAGTGTAAGCACTTAGTATATTTTATACCATCATTAGAATAAGAATGGTATAGTGGGTTTTTTTGGTCATAAGAACACATAATTAAATTCAATCTATTCATTGCTGTATACATAATAATATCAATATGTATATTACTCTTTTACCTATGGATAGGAGGTGATTTTTAATAACAACAAAGAATATAATAGGAAAGAAAATTTGTGAAAGTAAGAGACAAAACTTTACTAAGCAGCAAAGCTAGTAACAATTGTTAAGTTGATAAAAATATTAAAAGCTTTACCTAGAAACTATTAATGGAATCTGTTATGACTGTATTCAATCTTCTTTTCTAGTTCTGGTTGTCCAACTTTAGATGATATTGTAAAAGAAATGGAAATAAACCCATCTAAAGGTGAGGACATAAAGTGAATTTGAAAAATTGTTCGACTTACAGATAGTTAATTAATGAAGAAAACAACAATTTGGCATGTAAAATCAGATCGACTTACAAATTATTCGAGATGGCAAAGTTGACTTAGGCAAGTTTTACTGTATTTATCTCGCTGTAATATTTCTTTACCTTGTATTCTACAGTATTTCAATAAATTTCCATATATTTTGTTTCAGATGAAGTATGTTGGGATGATTTGAGAGATAATAGAGATTTAGATGTGTTGATTTCATGGGATCCAAAATCTAGGTTAGTCTAATGTTATTTTTGTTTATGAAGTCCTTTCTAATACATGTACACATGTATTGCATATATTTAAATATTTAAAAAAAAAGGCAAAAGTCAGTATCACTATCAAGTAGATAAGCAAATTATAACACACACACAACACACACAGCACAATACAACACACAACATATACAAGCTCATGGGTCAGTGATTCAAAACATTCGCTCTGCAAGTCACTTGTGGCCTTGAGCAAGCCACTTCATCAATGTTCAACAATTGTCATTCTTCAGCCTTGAGTATAACTGGGTACCTTGTAGGATCTAATATCAAGTGGTGATTCCAGTTGCTTACAGAATAATGATGACATGTTTCATAAGTGTTGGTAATAGTTGTTATAGTGACGTCGATCCCTAACAAAGCAAATAACTTAGCCTGCGCTTTCTTAAACTGCATAAAAAGTCACATCAAGTAGATAGATGATAATAATCATTAAATTCAAATTTATTATTAAAAAGTTATGCAAGAATTGTTATTTTTTAACAATAATGTAAAGAAATGCCAAAAGAAACTTGTCTAAAATTATACGTCACTTAGGCCCCCGAACATGGCGTCGGTGGCCTCACTGAATCCAGCCAATGATCAATCCAGCTATTATAGTAGAGATCAGTGGCCTAGGATGGCGATACCTTGCATCAGAAACCAAATTTCGATAACTTTCATGTGCAAAATGGAGAAAATAAGGATCACTTTTAAAAATTTGTGAACAAAAAATTAAAAAAAAAAAACTTTTTAAAAAGGTCGCCCCTATTTTACCGTGAGCTAGGGGCTGGCACTGGAGGGCAATCAAACAATTTTTTTTAGGCCTTATATCATTATTATGCGATTTAAAAGCACAACATCTCATTATCTTGAAACAGGCAATTAAGTGAAGAGGACAAAACTGAGTCATTTCTACAAGTTAAAGGATGGCATAAGCTCCGTTGTCTGACGTTACGGGTATTAGCCGCAGCTTCTCAGCTTGTGTCAACCTCTGATAGAGGGCAGCAAAGCAACAATGGACAAACACAAGACCATGGAAAAGTCATGGCAAAATTAGTGGATGAAATGAAAGAACATTTCAAGGAACTTGAAACGAATCCTATACAAACGAGAGAGGTAATTTGATTTCATTCTCAACAAACTACAGGATGGAAATGATGCTTAATAAACAAAACCTCATTAAGGGACTGGAGTTATAATCACAGACTTCTAAAGTACTACAGAATTTCCATAGATGCTACGCAAATTTTACCTAATTTCTGACTTACGGAAATAAACAAAAATACTTCGGAAATTTACCATAGGCCTAGACCCATAAATAAGTCCAGAACAAATTACATTTCCATCAGAATCTTTGGTTGCAATGTCCCTAGACAACTCATACTTGTCAGAATACTGATAAATTATTGTGAAAAACTAAAAAAACTAAATTCCACAGCTATTATTCTATACCTGCAATTTAAGCAACACATATTTTACGCTCAAGACAAATTAATAGGTGCTATGGAAATTTTTTATCTACTACGGATATTTGAAGACTTGGTTACTGAAATGCATTTTACTAATGTGAGATGTCTGTAATAATAAATTCTGGTTTAGACCTTACTTGAACCCAAGACACTGGAAATGGAAGGCATGCATCTTAACTGCCAAACCACAGGTCAACAACTTTTAGTCAGTCAACCAGAGCCCTATAAATGTAGAAGAGATCTACTATTGATAATAAGTGGAAAATGTCAATTTGATAACATTAAAATTATTCTATGTTGTCATAGCTGTCAAATCTTTTTCCTTTTACATAAAATTACTTTTGATTAGTTTCCAGAGCATGGCCCACCATCTACCCCAGCGAAGTCTTTTCTAGAGGGCCAACATCATGTGATGTTTAACAACATTGTTAGTACCGTCGCTGATATATACGAGTTACAAAACGGTAAAAAAGAAGCTAATATTTGTTGTATAAAAATATGTATAGCATACTGGTGACAGTTTGGATTCAGACAGGAAAATGAAAGATGAAAATATTTTATTTAATCAAGAATAAATATTGTGGGGAGCGGTTGAGGGTTTGCTGATACTACATTAGCAACACAGCATAAAATGTCCTACTTGTAGCTTAGTTAAACTTTCCAGAAAGATACATTCAGATCAGTTGATCTGTTTTTGGGATATCTGGTCTGGGACGTTTCCATTTGAATCACAAATATTTTATCATTACACCATTGATCCATGACAACCTATTCTGCAAAATTTTCATTTAGATCTATTAATAAATTGTTAATTTGGTAACAATTCATTTTATGTATTCATATTTTGTGTAGGTTTTTCAGAAACAACACAGAAGAAAATTAATGAAAATCTACAAATTGTTTTAGATACATATAAAGGTAAGCAACTGGATTTATTATTGGTTTTGTGGTATTCAATCCATCTTAAAATGCAGAGATTAAATAATTTCTCAACCATACACTTTTGATTCTTGTTGAAATTCATGACTGCTTTAAAAGTTTGGTCAGGTTAGTTTGCTATAAAGTGGGGTTACTTGAAGTTAATAATCTGTTAATTGTTAAAATGTGTACTGACTATGTGCAGATAAAATAAAACAAAAGTGACTCCAAATGGAGAAAGTGAGACCATATTTACTCATTGTTTCCTGCTGATGACTTAATAAAGTCGAACCTTTGAAAAAGTATAGCCTCACTTTCTCTATTTAGAGTCACTTTCGTTTATTCTGTTTATTGGTATTTTTATAAAATGTACTATTTTTACAAGAAAACAATCAACAATTGTCTATTTCATTTCATTACTCTTTGCAATTGTTAAATGTGCTATCAGCTATAATCCTGCGCTACTAAACTTGTATATTCATTTTGGACAGAATCGTTAGGCAGAAGTAACCGAAACCTTCTACCAGAGGACGGCGATAAACGGAAGCTGGACAGAAATGTCCTTCCTGAACTTATTATGCTCTCAGAGGTACCCAAGTAGTGTATAAAATATAATCAGTTAACATAGAAAAAGAATTGATTAATTTTTTTTTTTTTTTTCATTGTTTCTGTTATGTTTCTAATTCCTGCACAAACTGTGCAGAGAAACAGCTTGCACAGCAATTTGCCTGTTGGCTAACATATTAAATATTGCATTTAGAAGATAGTTATTGTGAAAAGCTCTAATAGAGTTACAAGACCATTAAAGAATGTGCATTATCTGCAAAATGTATAGATAATAATTAGCATGAAAGAGAAAAATGAATAATAATTATCAGTTTTTTATGACTTTTTCCTCCTAGACATTGGTATTTATAATTCTGCTGTCTGGAGTTTGTTTTAAAATCATAAAACCATTGAAAACTCAACAACAAAGAAAAAACAAGAAAAAAAAAGGAGTTGATGGTAAACCTCTGGTAAGTGGATGTAAAGAATCATGTATCTATTATCTCTATGATCATTGAATATCAGACAGTTTATGAAGTTTTGAAATAATTGTGCAGTAGGCCATGGGACCGTAAAGCTAAGAATCAATTTTTTCCGTTTGTGTCTTAAGAGATAGCATTTATATGGAGCATGTGCATCGATTAACAATATCAGTGCATGGTTACGGAGAGGCAAGGCAACCACACTAATGGAATAGAAAGATTGACATTATTGACATAACTTATTCAAGTTTATTTCAAATTATTCAATATACAACAGCAGAATGGGTAAAAAATACATATCAAAATTCAAACACTAAATTTACTAAATTTTAAAAAATGGTTGACCTTAGGCCTGAAGGACTTCAAGGTCAAGGCTGTAATGTATTGCAAAATTATGATAAAAGCGCTGTTTCCTAACCCCTACAAGGTAGTTTATTTAATAGTCCTAAGATAAAAATGTTACTGTAGACAATTTAGTTCTCATTGGTGTAGCTAACATGATTTTATGATTTTTTTTTCCTTTCAACACAGCCACCAGTGTTTGACCAGTTCAAAGGTTACATGGAGTCTCTACTGCAGCTGACAGATGACCTCATCCATGTATTTGAAAATATTAAAGCTGACCTTGTGGCATTTGACCTTTCTAGGCTTAGCATTCAAGGAAAATACAAATTAATGGAGGTAAGTTTGCAAGTAATAATTTCCATTCATTTAAAGATGGAATTGGTTATTTTTTGCAAAGCCTCTGTGTCAAAAATTTCCACGAGAAGTAGATGAAACTAAAGTCGCCGCTAGATAAACCTCAACGCTGAACCTGAATACCAAATAATAATAATAAAGAAAAACCAATAAATATTTGTAGTACATCTCCTTTCTAATTAATTAAAATATTAATGTATGGAAATTAAGTGGTTGATGAAGTAGTGGCACCTGAGGGGGCTCCTTGTAGGGGAAGCCTAGCACTAGCCTAAAAAATCTATTAAATTGGTAATTGAATCCTCTAGAATATATAAGCTCCCTGCCACCCCCTCCCCTTCCCCACAAAAAAAACGTTAGTTGGTAAATTCAAGGTATTTCTCAAAACAAAAATATAGAATCCCTGCCACTGACTACATTATCTTAATGCTGATTAAAAAACTAATATTAATCCACCAACAAATTTGTCAATATGCTTCCTGGGGGAACTGGGAGCCTAGACGGCAGTCGTTTGTCCCCTTCCCCAGTCAGGGCGTTCGGCCACTCTGTTGGGCAGATCCTGGCGCGATCACTGGGTTGATGGTGTATAAAAGTATAAGGTTAACTTTTAATGACAGTTAATGTACTCTCTTTGAAGGATGAAGATAACTTTGTGAAAACATTGTGGACTGAAATATGTGGTAGTTACGAGGATGCTTGTTCTGAGGTGCTGATGGTTATGAAATCCAGGAAAGCATATGCGACTAATTTTAAACTTTGAGGTGCTTGTGAAGACATGATGGACACATTAGAAGGACGGTTGATGATAGTGGAATACCGCACAGAGTGATGGATAGAAAGTACTAGTAGAAGCCACTTAAAATGCCGCAGCATTTTTTATGAAGAAAAGCATGCATGATTTATATCAGGTAGACTGCGAGCCATTGAAACTGCATTAGCCAATAATTACTGGGTTGTTTATCATATTTCCCTTGATCAATCGTGAAAAAATCTAACCTTCACTTTTTCAAACACTGAATCCTATTAGGAATTACACAATAATATAATTAATATACTAATAAATAATGATTAATATTATTAGATGTGTGTTCATGCAGTGGAAAGAGACAAAATATGATTTTTTGTCTTAATAAAACAAAATGTATTTTCTACTTTATTTTCAAAATGATGACATTAGAATTAACATGTTTGATATACAGCAAAAGAAGCTGCATGATTATTTTTATTCTTTAAACAATTGTATTCATTGAGACAGAAGCAATGATGCTTTATGGTTGTTAAGACTAAACACTTGCCTTTGTAAAATATAAATTGTATGAGAATGCATCAATACATACTTCCCAGATTCCTATCAAATTACAGATAGTGCAACCTCATTTTCTAATTTGTAATATTGATTTGTTTGCATATAAAGGAACTTAAGTTCAGGTTCTGAAAGCTTCAAATTTTATATTATACTACTAATGCTATCAAAATATAGATATAAATATTTTAATCAAAGAGGTGCTTTGGAAGACATAACATACATATGCCTGCACATCACAGGAACCTCACATACATCACCACCATATACTGTTTATCACATACTATGACATGTGGTGTTATGTACACAGATATACAGTTCCTGTACATTACATGAGCCTCGTAAAATATCACATATAACATGCGGATACAGAGTAACTGTACATCACGTCTGTCTTACAGTGACCCTCTCGTAGTTCTGCATATAGTAAATTCTTAATGTAAAATTAGGCTGTATCAGAGGAATTCTGGATGTTTAATGCCAAGTAGGCTTTAAAGAATGAATGAGTCGTACATTAATAATTATATCGACTTGTGAGGGAGACATTTTAGATCTGAACTTTCTTGAAATTTTACAAGGTTGTATTTGCATGTGTCAACATGTTTTCTTTTATAAGTATTTTTTTATTCAGAATGACGTTTGTGAAAATGTGAAATAAACACACATGAAAATAAAATTGCTGGCTGTGCATCATTTGGAGGCTAAAATCTAATGTATATTTTATCATTGCGTACTATTGCATAGTACAGTAGTGTTAAGCCCTATCCACACTCCAATTTTGACATGACATAGGCACATCATGACTATGGGAATACAATTTTTTTAATAGAGCTTAACACATAAGTCGTATATCAGACCTGCGGTGGTTCCAACTAGAGCCTCAGTCCAAATCATGTAATAAAAAATCTTTGGTAGGTTTATGGCTTAGTACAATACAAGTTGTGCTTTTAAACCACAAAATTAGGGATTCATTATTTATTTATAATACCATACTTACAGAGGGCAACTCTTACACTACAAAGCAGACTAGAAGAAAAAGGTACATGAAACAAGAAAATTAAATTTAAAGTACTGTAAGCACACCACAGCAACAAGGAGCAACAGAAGATGAAGTGGATTACATTGATTAAATTTGAGAGAGGAATTTAATTTAATTTAAAGGATAAGAAAGTAGAATCATTATAGAATAAAATCTATGAATTCTGGAGAGAAGTGGCTCGATTGGCAACCAAAATAACACCACCATAGGTTCAGATCCTAATTTTGCTAGTACTGTAGTAGGAGTAAAGGGTGATATCAAGCACCTCAAGGTTTAGGTATTGTTATACCCTTTTTACCCACAGTTTTTAATTTTAAAAATCTGTATCTTAACTGTTCCTAATTTTTTATTTATTATGCTTCAGTGTTAGAAATAATTATTTGTACAACATATCAGTTTCTTTTTCCCGGAGCCTGGAAACGTTATCAACCTTCAATAAGATACATTTCAAAACAATTCAGTCCTGCTTATTTATTGCAAAATTTTTACTACAAATCCTGAACTTGATTACCAGGCAATTTAATGCAAATATAGGAATGGTATTATTTATTGTATATTGCTCATCAAGAATAGTATACCTTGTGGATATTTATACAATATTATATTAACATGGATGCAAGTTTTGCAGCTTTTTTTTTTTAGAAACTGGACCGATTTTGGCTCTTGAAAGATCTTCTGTAGAGCACCTATTGGATATCAGCCCTGTATCTTGTTTCTGCTCATTTCAAACAAAATTTCCAGTCAAATCATTTCACATTTCAGCTTCTCAATATAATTTCAGATGACCTGTTACTTTGTCTATCAATTCAGCTGGACCTATAAAGAAAATATTTTAAAAAATACAAATTCATTTATTTGTTTTTCACTTGATACAAAAACATTGTATAAACATTTGATTAAATTGACAGATAGTGTAGTGAATTTCAGCTGTGCTGTACATGGTAAAAATACACCACATGAATTGTAATAGGATCACAGAACAGTAAATTGATTCATCAGATGGACAGTCCCACAGGCTGATGGACATAAGATCTAGAAGTTGGGTAAACATACATCCTAGTGTGTGCAAAAAAAAACAAACAAACATACATTCCTTTAAAGTCTTTATAGGAGATCAGCCTATTATAATTAAATATTGTTTTTAGGCCTCTTTGTTACCTATATAATTAGATATAAAAAATGTAATGCAAGTGACCATGAAACTGTTCATACAGTATATGATGTTTTTCATTTGACCCAGTCAAATGGTGTTAATAAACACCTCACAAAGTAGTTGAGCTACTGGTGTTTTACCTGGGCCGACACCTAATACTGTTTTTGAGCCTGGAGCTATTTGAGTTCTTCCTGCATCTTGGATTAGACATGCAGTTAAGCCTACGGATTGCGCATGTTGGGCCAATGCTATTCTGCAAAATTAAAAAAGATTAAAAATGTATTACTCTATCATTATGGTGTAAACTGTGCTAGTATAACATGCTTGTAATATTTCCCACTACCTCTCCCTCAGATAATTGGAAACAGGTCATTTTTTAATTTTCAAAATTTGTTTTTTAGAGAAGAATTTCACATAGGCTGGAAAACCAAAATAATGTGCTCGATTTGGATTAGATTGATTAAATCTGCAGAAACATCAAGCCATCTTTAGGACTCACAGTGTTTCCTCATCAGGGGCCTTGACAACTATTTTTGGCTGGCCATTTTCTTCCCATTGCTCCAAGGTCTCATCATCTTCATCCCCCTCTAAAAGCTCAGCGTAACATCCTACTGCTGCATGGCAACACTAACAGGAATATATATATATGAACAAAAATTAACAACAGTAAAAGAATAAATTATTCATTTTAGCTATACTGAGGCTCCCAGGATTTCTAAACATGGTAATGCCAATATTTTGATAATGCTGGTAATTATATTAGGATAATGAACCATGGTGCAATCTAAATGTACTGAACTCAGTTCAGCTTTTAAATTTAACTCATGTATTAGAAAAACCACAAGAGCAACAGTATGGCTACAGGCCACTATGCCAAGCACATCACTGTAAACTGTCCCATAAACATTTTTAAGAATAGTAGATTTGCTAAATAGATAAGTGGCCTTTGTGTACACTTACATTCAAAATTGCTGTATGTACACATAAAGAGTACCACCATCTTCAAGTTAGCTGGAGCACCGTCATTGTAGTATTGTGCTTATAGTATTTTATCAAGGGTATTGTTTCAAATGAAAACTTGTGAAGTGTTTCCAACGCATTTGTTACATACATGCCCTATTGTTTTTCAATTATTTCTCATGTATGTGCATTTCAATGGCCATTTTGAATATCAAATCCACTAAGAACTATCTAGTATTCTTTTAACTCAATGAGTTAGTTTACAGTCATTAACCCTCCATCTGACCACTCACAATGTCTCTTCATCTGTTGTCTTGACAACCACCTTAGGCTGGCCATGTGTTTCCCACATATTAAGCATGATGGGATTGCTCCTTTGTAAATGGCGATAACAGTTGACCGCTGCATGACTACACTGTCAATCATAAATAGGTTAACAGTAATTTGGGTCAAATTAGAATAAAAAGTAGATAAATTAATTTGTTTGATTGAAAAGTATTATGTCTGCAATGATATACTACCAGAGGATTGAAAAGGCCAAAAGCAGAAGACACTATATTAAAATTGGCTTGTCATATGTTGAGTAATTACATGACAAAATGTGAAAATTGGTTAAATAATGAATTAATTATTCACCCAAGGTTTGTGTTACACATAATTAATGTGATTCAGTTTTTATATACCACTATGCAAGTGTATAAATTAATATCTCTATATTAAACCACAGTAACAGTGTCAGTTATTTTGTTGAGCTAATATTATTATTTATTATTCTTAAAGAATAGACATTTTGTATCAGTAGTACCACATACAAACTTTGAATGAATATCTCAAAGGATAATTAATGACATATGTAAGAAAATAACATATATGTAAAAAAGTAAATCTCTTTATTTATTTATTTAATTTACCTGAGCTGCAACTTTTCCCTTTCCCATTTTCAGATCTGTTCTAACAACAAGTACCATTTTATGTTCCCCTCCTTCACCCGCAGTATCAACCTGTGAAAATGACGGTTGAAGATTTGATTATCAAAACACCCATGAAAGATTCCTAATTACTGCACCCTGTCATGGGTGCAGGTTTGAGGGGCCAGGGGCCACCCAGAACCTCTCAGAAAGAGTCAAGAGGGGAATTTCCTGGAAGAAAATTTAGAGACTTGAATGGATGCTTTATTTGATTTTAGAGTCTCATAATCTGTAAAAATTACACCAAAATTATTTTTGGGCTCAAATCTGAAAATGCCATACCATAACATAGGGAGCAAGACCGAAGTTTAAGGTTGGGACCAAGTCAGCTCCGCCAATTACCTCGGATTTGTGTAAAATCCATGTAACAATATCAATGACGGTAACTGTTTTCTGATAGGGAACCACAGCTCACTGCGACCTTCAAACCCCACCTCCAATTTTATTGGCATTAGTGTAGTGGTCACTATGTTCTGGCTGGAGCACCAGTGGGTTTTCTCATAGGCCAACCCCATTGGATAGTTTCTTATTATTAATCGACTTAAATTTGTTGTTCCATAGCCGACAACCTGCATGACATAGGCCTACACCGCCTCAGTCCATTTAGGCCTAGGCATATTTTACAGTAGGCATGGGTTCTAGCCTGGAGAAGGCGAAGTCACAGCCTACAAAATGCCTCTCACCACGGCCTTCGTGCTGGAGCCTGTCGATGCGCCTGGCCTAGCATCTTCACTCTGTAAGCCAAGTTGTTTATTGTACTTTTCCTTCATAAACCAACCAAGCATAACACCACATCCCATACTGACAAATAAATTCAAAGTCATTGGAGATATTAAGTCGTCAAGTCTCATTTTAAATTTAAATAACCGAAAGACACCAACACAAAGATTCCTCATGAAACATGGGGCTTATTCGACAGGTTCATTTCGTAGAGTACGAATTTTCGTTGAATGTTATTTTTATTCGATTGGTCTGTTTTGAGCAGCTCTTTCTACTCAAACTGCACATGTCGTATTCGACTTGTGTCGCACGAGCAGTATACGAACTCCTCACAAGATAAAAGAGCGAACTCCTCGCTGTTTTTTTTAAAACGAGCACCGCGAGCACACTCCGAGTGAGCGAGTAAATCACTCCTCGGAAAAGGACCAGTCGAATACACCTAAAGACTTCCTTGACAACTAAACCAAAATGCACGTGACCAAAAAAATATAGCCGATTGGTCAGTTTAGCAAAACATTTGCGTTAATATAATTTAGATTAAATTTCAGAAAATAAAAATTATAATATTTACCCACATTGAAGTCAAAAAATAATTGTAGGCCGGCTAAAAGAATCCAAAAACTGGATGAAAACATTTTTTTATTTAATTTAATCTCAATTATATTAATGCATCTGCTAAAAGGGAACACATAAGTTTAATAATTATTTAGGTTAGCCTAATAATTCAGAAACAGATCGAAAATTAGTTTTCATTGATTTAGAGACGGGGCCTACTATAATACCTGTCTGTTATTTTAAGAATGTTTCCTCCTATTATAAATTATACTTAATACTAATCACGAGGCCTATACCAATTTAATGGAGTATTTACATTTTGCTCAGCTCATGACAGGCAGTAGCCGTCATGTAAACAAAAGCTCACAATAGGCCTAATGAACTGATCACGATTTTCTTATCATTAATGTTCTTGAATTATGCCAGAGTTAAGCATATAGCCTAATGCAGGTATTAATTCTCTGTATTAATATTATTTAAATGTTAAAACGACAATGGATAAGGTTAGTGGTCCAAAATTGTCTGAAAATTGGATGGAATGTATCATCTAGGCCTATTCGTTTTTCTGACGCCGATTCTTAAATTACGGTACTTAAAGACAGGGCCGTCGGAACGGCACCGGCCGCACCGGCTTTGGCCGGACCTCTTCTCATATTATTATTATTTTTAAAAATACATATACTTTTCCGAAAAGTCCACTGGTTAATCTCAGATAGGATAGTATAATACATAGTCCTACTCCAATATCGATGATGCACGCCATCGTGTCGGAATTCAATATTTCGACATTAATTGTCATCATCAGTTATGAAAAATTATCTATTCTATATCATTGTTAAATGGGTGTAGCCTACGTATAGCAAACGCTTCTTTAAATAATAGTAATGCCCAATTTGCGAACTGTCAGTAATGTTAGTATTAGAAAATATTAAACCTAATTTATTATTTACATTACAGGCTACATTATCATTTTCCAGTACCTTCAGGTTTACAAGGATACTGGAAAATGATAATGTAGCCTGTAATGTAAGTAATAAATTAGGTTTAATGTTTTATAAGCATATTTATAATAAGTGTATAAAGTTTAATTAAGATAATAATATGTATACCTAAATGAAATAAATAAATTAATAATTAATAATAATCTACAATTACACACCCGAATCAAGGGGCTGACTGGAGCCTCTGTCAGGTTCCCGGCATAAAAAAAATCCATGTGTTCGCGTTGGAAGTTTTTGGGGGGTTTTTTTATACCACAAAATTAGAAATTGACAATCAAAATAACGTTATATGGATAGGCAAATTATCATTTTTCTGGTAGGGCACTACTGTCCTGGTTGGTTGTGCACCTGTCTCATAATATCCAAATTACGGTTGAAGAAAGCGTGTATCGTCGTAGACACGTCGTCGCAAAAACATCTTCATAAATTTTGGAATGGTGTTTCTTTTAGGTAAGAAAATATACATATAGGTAAGTAGAGAGTGTACCATACTGTAGTTGTACAAGCATGTATGCCTTCATGGTGTTAGATTTGATTGTGGTATCCATTGTTGTGTTGTTGTTCAGGCCTAGATTTTCAGACTGAAGACTGTGCTCTAACATTTTTTAGTCCTTTTCATACAATGGCATAAACCGAAATGTCTGAGTGAAAATGTAAACGGCAGTAAAAAAACTGAGCTAAAAATTTGTTGTGTAAAACCGTATAGTCGTAGGCACATGTTTTTGCAACCTACAGTCAACAATGTAAATGTAAGTACTCTTTAAATGTAGGCTAAATGAAATTAATTTATTAAAGATTAACATTTATATAGTGACTTAAAAACGATCCGTGAGTCGTACAATGCGTTTTAATTTAAATACAGTAGGCCTATTTAACATATCGCTAAGTATATAAATTCATGATTAGGATGTAGGAAAAATCTAAACCGTCTTTCGAAATGCTATATAAGTAAATAAGTAATAATCTCAGATAGGAACATAAGATGTAATGATCATACCAAATGGGGGGGGGGGGTTTCACCTAAAACTCCAGATGCCGTGAAGGGGAAAACAGTTTGGACCCCAGCTTTGTTATTATAGAACGATACAGCGGTCTGATAGAGTATTAGTTAAAATTTTAAGATTTAATATTCGCTTTTAAGTTTTATTACAAAAATATTAAAAAAAAATGTGTATTCAGTACATTTTCGACCGTCTTAAAATTTTGACCTTTTTCGATTCGGGTGGGATGTTGAGGAGCGTATTCACCCACTCATTTTAAAATAACGCTTTATGAACATGTACACTTTACATAATGTATTAAATCAATCAAACAATCAATTTCATTTTCTGACTTTGTATTCCTATACCTCATGAAAGTATGAATGTCATAAAGTTTCCATAAAGTGTTTTAATCTAATGAGATTTATACTTAATTAGACCGCGCCTCACTTAACACAGATGCCAAATGAAAATAGTTTGAATGTATTTCTGACTAGTTCAATCTCTTTTATTTCAGTGTCTCAGGTCAAATCTACCGATCCATCTATAAGTGCGAAGTCGATGTACAATTATTGTCAGCGGAACACAATGTGTATTAAATTTCCGGAACACAAGATGCTATCAATAACCGGATTTATGTGGTCTTAATTCTCAAACAATCGCGCGTGGATATTTATTAGGATTTATATCATTGGATCGCCGGTATTGAATCAAATTTGCCAATTATGTTTCTTATACAACGAACAAGTAATTCTCGAACGATATTACATAATTAAATTTAATTAGGCACAAGCATTATATATATTATATTATATCATATAAAACTAGAATCTTTATATTATCTATTGATATTAAGTTTATTTAGTTCTGATGTAACATTTCCGAGTATGTAAGAAATAAATAAATGTGAACTGTAGTGTAATTTATAATACATCATTGTTTGTACTTCCTTTGTCGTAATTGCATTAATAATAATATTATATATTTCATGATTATTAATCAGTATATAATCGAATTAAACATATAACAATCACTTCGATTCGAATATAGCACTATTACAGTGTACTATATCTTATAAACACTCTTTCCAAATATATTCACATGACACCTACATAATTTATTACGAAACTTTTCAGAGTGTACTATATCTTATAAACACTCTTTTCAAATATATTCACATGACACCTACATAATTTATTACGAAACTTTTCAGAGCAAGGTGCTGTCGAATTTTACAAAACAGGAAATGACGTCGGTTACTTAGCTACAGCTCATGCATATTCAGTAACACCTGTGCTCATTAGACTAATAAAAACTTTTGGCTCAGTTTTAACAAAATCGACCAAAAAGATTTTATTGTTAGTCTAATTAGAACAGGTGTCACTGAATATTCATTATTATGCATGAGCTTGTTGCTTAGCAACCACGTCATTTCCGGTTTTATGTTTTTGTTGAGGGCGTCCTCGAAAGAATTGCTAGTTTAATAGATAAAGTAGCTTAATAGATAGTTTAATAGATAAAGTACCGTAGCACATAGGCCTATATTGATGAAGCAATTCTTAAATTTTGGTTTAAGCTTATAAGCTTATTATAATAAGGATATTTTAGCAATTGTATTTATTACAGTAAACATAAATATTAAATAAGATGAGAAGAAATGCACAATTCCATTTGATATTTATTTTCAAGCATTGAAATCAAGTTGTGATATAGGCCTATATACATTTTATGTTTATACTGTAGGACTATATCATGTACATCCGGCAAAAATCAATAAATCTGGTTTTAATCCTCAAAATGTTATATCTTATTATCTTACATGTCTATATTCTTTACAACAAACGGTTTACTTTCTCTATTAATAAGATAAACATTAACAGTAATACTATACAATATTAATAAACATAAAGCCTACAAGATTTACTACACATTGCTAACATTATTTTTGAGATTATTGCGAAGGAAAACATTTAAAAAATAAAATTTACACTATTTAAATAATTTCATATCAAGAATTTTTGCAGGAAGCTTGATGAGTGATACAATTTTTGGCTATCTATGAATAATTGGTAAGTTTTGTTGCCCTTTCACGATTAAGTCCAGACATTGTTTCCTGATAGCTGTGGCTTTTTGTCTAGAACACTGGAATAGAAAAATATTCAGAAAAGGTTAGGAAACAGAGAAAGAATTATAACGGAGTATCATCAAAACATAATATATAAATAAAAACAGAGGCAGAGCCAGTAGGTTTGAAATAGAGGGGCCCACGGGGAGGGACTTTGACAGATGAAAGGTTTTCACCACCTCAGCCCTACCATAATTGGGGCTGAGGTAAGAAACTTTTCGATTATGGCACCTCTAGATGGCCAGAAATGGCACTCTCAGATTTTTGATTTGAATGTAATTTTCTTTTTTTCTCAAATTTTTTACCATTTTAAAAGATTTAGGGTGGGGGTGGGGGAGGGAGGCCGCTGCCACCCCCTCAAGGGGAGCACTCCAACCTGACATTATCGTATTCAGTTATTGCAATGGACAATGCTGCTGATACAACATAATAGTACTTCACAATTATTACCATATCAGCATTATATCATATTAAATATTAATTATTTATAGTATCATCATACCACGGAATGATGTGAGGATTATTAAATACATGGCATTGGGTAGGACTATTAGATCGCAATAGCGCAAACAAATTATGTTAGCATTCCGATTGTCATGGGTAAATAAAATTTATAAAATACTATTCGATAGAAATGAATATATAGATTCATAAATACAGTACAGTATATTCAAACAATAAACATAATACTATATCTACAATCCTATACAAACATTTTTCATGATATAATATTTGTTGATTGATTGATTGAATTTGTTCGATGCTCAACATGCATAAGCAAGATAACAAATGGATTGAGATCAAGAAAAGTAAAAATTACCGTAATAATGAGCATCAGGAACGCCCATTAGGCCGGAGACCAGCCCATTTCCAATGAGGTCCAACTTACACTGTCTGTCTTGAGCTAAAAGATAAACAATTTAATTCCATAACTGAATAATTATATTTAAGCAGGGAACAGTGAAATTACACTGTAATTTCACTGTTCCCTGATTTAAGTAAGTTACAAACTTACAACTAAATATATGAATGACAACATTTTCCTGTCAATTAACAGACAGTTAAATTATACCAGTGTTATATTTTTATTTATACATAGACTCTTAAATTGGCTGGTAGTGTCGATTTAAGGAATTTGTAGTAAATTGTTTGTAAATTCAGGAAAAATGAGAAAAATGTCGATAGTGGGGTCCAACAATTCTTATCGGGGTCTAAAACAAGGGGATGCCTAGAGCCTTGTTCATGGTCCCGGAATATAATCCCTGGGGTGAGGTTCATGGGGAGAAACCTTACGGTACAGGATCGCCCATGTGATTTTTTACCACAATTAGATTGGCTATCAACATATATTTGTTTAGATCAGCAATAATGTCCTGGAGACGGACGAGGGAGTCGATGTTAGCTTAAGTTTTGTAACTCGGAATACATACATGAGCAAAGCTAGTTGCATTTCAAGTTAAAAATAATGTTTAGTTTACAGCAACATCGCTACTGGGGCCAAGACCCGGGATTTGTCAATCTCAGCTTAGCAAATGTCTTAAGTCAAAAAAGTTAAGATGTCTCTAAAGCAAATATCTTAGCAAAATCTTCTTAAAAAATTGTCTTAGATGGCGCATGCATACAGTCGACTTTAAGTTAATTTCAAGCATGCGCGGCTCTAATCAATATTGATAAATTTGACTTAATCTGGCCCCAGCATACCCGGCTTATGCGGAGTAAGCCTATATATTTGCTAAATATTTCTCCTCTAATTGCTCTACAAGTGTGGCCTATCCTTTTTTTTTTTGAAAATCCCATAGATCCCTCTAATCAAGGACTGTTAGGACTAAATTATTTTCAAAAATCAGTTTTCATTAAGGCAGCTAAATTGTAGAAACTATTCCTCCTAGCGCCATTTTCTGTTAAATGGTCTTCTGCCTTATCTTTTATTGAAAACTGGGAGCCCTCTTGCTAACATTTTTTTCAAATTCAGTTTTTTTTTGTATTTTTTTTTACTTTCATGTATGAATTACATTTTATCATATGATCAGTGAACCGCCTTTGGTGTTGGGCCTTGCCCTTGTCTTGCTCTCATAGGCACTCCGAGTAATTTCATATTGCATATTATTCATCTATATGTCGAATTGGTAATAAATAAATAAAATATCGTGCACACATAGCCGCATAGAGAGAGTGAGAGAGAGAGACGCTCAGCCATATACGGCTCATGCCTGGTTTGTAGCTGTATTTCAAATGTATTGTAGGCCTACTGTAAATGTAAATGTATTTCACATTTCGACTTTCTTTTGGAGGGGCGCCATGAGCTTTTCCTCTTAAACGGATACCGGCACTTTATAAATTTTCATTATCATTATTATCATTCTTATTCTTATTAATTATTATTATTATTAGGCCTATTATTATTATTAGGCCTATTATTATTATTATTATTATTATTATTATTATTATTATTTGGCATAAAATTATTATTATTAAGCCTATTATTATTATAATTATGCCTATTATTATTATTATTATTAATACAGTCCTATATAAAATGCTCAACTGCTCTGTATATTCTAAAAGGGCAATTGTGCAACTGGTCACCGCCTAAATTATTAAAAACTTAATTCGAAAATGGAGAAAAAAAATGAAAATTGTATTTATGTTTAAGTCGTTTCCGGCCATCTAGAACATGGGCCATTGAGGTGACATAATCATAAATCCATGTGTAAGTCCCCACTGGACCCTCTATTTCAAATTTCTGGATCCGTCACTACAGCAGCAGATTTATTTGATATCGACATCATGAAAGTACTGTACACATCCATGAAGATGTTAATATCAATATTTGATAAAGACGGTGTCATTTGGGCCTACCCCGATCACTTTCACTGTCCTTTAAAAATAATATAGAAAATATTTTTGTCGGGCTATAGTGACAAATTTCGATTATTCAGGATTAAAAGTTGTGTACCAGATAATTATGGGCTCTTGGTAATAAATTGCATATACTGTCAATGAAAAAAACAGATACGAATCTACAATGTAAACAACGAACGGAAGTTAACAAGCCCCAAGCTGTAATGACTGTAAATAATTTTTTAAACCAGTTTCAGGTCTGAGGGTGGTTTTAGCGAGTCACTGAATTTATGTTGTTGAATATATAATACAGCATGTCAGTGCATGCTTCTGTCGAGGAAATTGCCTTCAATGCGACTGCCTAACAAACGTAGTCAAAATAATAACCATAGAATGATGACAGAATTCCCACTTAACTAGTGAATTAGCGATGAAATGTTCAATACTGTACTTACATTTGTTATTACAAATTGTAAAGTCTCCTTCGTAGTCCATTGAGTAATGTTTATATGTAAAACGCCACCTGGACTCCGATAGAATCAGTATAGGCTGTTATGTGACACAAAGGTATTAATCCCACTCACTTTTCGACTACAATGTAATTTCATAAGTAAAAAGATGCCTGAAAACACCGATTGTGTTTGTCTTGTTCAACATAATTTTTATATAGGCCTAATTAGCCCAAATATGTGAATTATGCCAGAATTGAGCATAATGAATTAGGTACTGTCTGTATAATATTATTAAAGCTTAGAATTGGATAGTGTTTTTGTGATCTGTGGTGCCATTATAAACAACAGGAAAATACGTCCAGTTTTGACAAAATCCATAAAATATAGGCTATTAGGCCTACCCTTTGCGTTTTTTTTTTGTTTTTTTTTTAAATTGGACTCTTTTTCACCTAGGCCTAGTCGTTTCTCAGCTGATTCTTATATTATGGTAGCCTGTCATGGTATCCAATTAGAACATACCGTTTATGTTTGTCTTGTTCAGCATCATTTTTATCAGACGCCCAAATATGTGTATTATGCCAGAATGAAGCATAATGAATAAAGTAACATATTAATATTATTTAAGCTTAAACAACCGGAAAATAACAATTTCTACAACCGGACCACAAAACAACAGCGTAAAAATAGTACTGTACTATAATACCTCCATGGTAAAACCACTAAACTAAACGTACACAAACACGTGCATTTTGTGACACAAGCGCGTAATGTAGTACTGGATACGTTCTGATTGGTCAGTTGTAACTCCAGAAAGTCCAATATTATAAATCAAAGGCCTTGTGTTGACATAGCCTCGACCATGACATGACGTAATAAATCACCATTACATACATTCATCTTGTCATACTCCTTGTTGAACACACATGCGCTTGATCATTATTACATCGTCCTTGTAAACATCTGCACAGAATCAACTATAGTATAATAGGCTACCTTCATTATTATGTTGAGCACATCAACACCGGCAAATATCTGTAATTCTTTTATGATAATCAAAGCTCGATTCGCACTTATACAATAAATGCAATATCGATTACTATATTCTACTTTGATGAATTACGTTCAAACAAGGGATTACTAGATACTGATACGTAGACGTTTAACTTGGACCCCAATGGAAATAAGTTTCTTAACTTTATGGGTTATTCATGCCATCATTTTTTTTTATTCCTTTATTCATGTAACCATGTCTTTTTGATGAAATTTTATTGTATTGTTTTTAATGATGTAAATTGAAAGTTTTGAGATGCTGAATAAAACAAAACAAAAATAACTTACACCTAAAGTATGAGTTACTGCACAAATCAGAAAGACACATACAAAGGAAATAAGGATTATACAGTTTTTATTAACTATAAGTTAAATGTCAATTTATACATCGATTTTGATACATGCATAATTAAAAAAAATATATATAAAAAAAAAATAAATAAAAAAAAATAGGTAAATTTTAGTAAAAACATGAACACCTTAATTAGAAATATGATACAGTGAAAAAAATTAAAAACACATTGAATGTAGAGAATTGATTATTAGTAAGTATATATAATGATATATTATAAGGCAGTTGTATTTATTTATGTCCAGTGTATTTCCACTAATTCCACTAATTGGAATTCATTTTGCAAGCAAGCCATTTCTGTCCCATTTGCATAAATACAACTTATGGTACATATATGATTTACAAGCACAAGATATACACTAAACTGTACCAAAAAAATTTTAGATTTTAAAATTAGAATATAGATCACTAAAAATGCCCGAAAATATGCAGTATAATCACAATTACCTTAAGTACTATATTATCAAGTAGAACCAAATGTTCAAAATTGTATTTAAGGACAGTTAAAGTATACAGATATTTTAAATTATTTGAAAGCATAATAATAACATACTTTATGGCCTTATACCTTTCAGCTTCATGATTCTGGTTTTAAAAAATGAATACATGTACAGAAATATTTACGACTGGTATCAAGTGGTATAGATATCAACTTTAAAATATAAACTGAGAATAAATTAATCATTAAATAAGAGCATGATATAAAATGATGTAAATGTCCATGATTGTAAAGTTACCAGCAAAATTCAATACATTTGTATATTTTTGTCTCTCTTCTATTCAGTGGTGTTTCTAAGAAGACATGAGTATAAAGTTTGCACCTCCTCTAGAGCCCCCTCCCCCTCCCCTTTACTCACATAATTAACAATCTTCCCATATCACCTCATTATTATTAATACAGTCCTATATAAAATGCTCAACTGCTCTGTATATTCGAAAAGGGCAAGTGTGCAACTGGTCACCGCCTAAATTATTCAAAAATTAATTCGAAAATGGAGAAAAAAAAATGAAAATTGTATTTATGTTTAAGTCGTTTCCGGCCATCTAGAACATGGATCATTGAGGTGACATAATCATAAATCCACGTGTAAGTACCCCCGGATCCTCTATTTCAAATTTCTGGATCCGTCACTACAGCAGCAGATTTATTTGATATCGACATCATGAAAGTACTGTACACATCCATGAAGATATTAATATTTGATAAAGACGGTGTCATTTGGGCCTACCCCGATCACTTTCACTGTCCTTTAAAAATAATATAGAAAATATTTTTGTCGGGCTATAGTGACAAATTTCGATTATTCAGGATTAAAAGTTGTGTACCAGATAATTATGGGCTCTTGGTAATAAATTGCATTATATACAGTCAATGAAAAAAAGAGATACGAATCTACAATGTAAACAACGAACGGAAGTTAACAAGCCCCAAGCTGTAATGACTGTAAATAATTTTTTAAACCAGTTTCAGGTCTGAGGATGGTTTTTAAATAAGAGCATGATATAAAATGATGTAAATGTCCATGATTGTAAAGTTACCAGCAAAATTCAATACATTTGTATATTTTTGTCTCTCTTCTATTCAGTGGTGTTTCTAAGAAGACATGAGTATAAAGTTTGCACCTCCTCTAGAGCCCCCTCCCCCTCCCCCTCCCCTTTACTCACATAATTAACAATCTTCCCATATCACCTCATTTCATCTAAGCTAGAACACCCCCATTTTCACATTGATACCCCAGTCTACCAGTGCCCCATGCGAATACTCTAATAGATACAGCACTTCTTCCATTGATTACGGCAACCATTTCCCACATTTTCATGTTTCTTTTTATGTCCATGATACATTACATTTTAAAGATTAAGATATGTCTCCACTCCAAAGCATCAGTTATCTCCACTGTCCACTTACATTAATGTAAAAGAAAAATGTTTCCTAACCTCTATACTTCCCCATGAACCATGACATTTTTAATATTGACTACTACTAAAGTGACAGTGTTAGCATAATTATTTGATCGTCATTAAGTTTTGCATGTGCTGCCAGCTATAATTATGGTTTTCTTTTTATACACAGTACAATCTTTCTTCTACTACCAAATATCTATAATTAATAGATATTCTTATCAATGTACACACAGGTAAAACACATATTAATTTTCTCAATTTGTAATCTTGTTTGTTTCTCATCATTATTGTAGGTAAATATTTTTCCAAATGAAAATGTCTTTAGAAGATATACTGTACTATCAATTATTAAATAAGGAACAATGGAATTATTTCAATAACTATTAATAAAGTAAAAATAAACTACTTTGCGCAATAATTATTTTATATTTTATGTATTCCTTTCAGATTCTTAATCAAATAAATAAATTGAAAAATAATCTCTTTTTACATTATATAGTTTTTAATGTTTTTATCTATTCAGAATTGTTTTTGTGCAACAATTGAGCAATTCTTCTGTTAATAACAGTTAGAATAATCATTAGTCTAAATAAAAGAAAACATGTTCAAACTAGTCAATAATTATCAAATTTATTAGTTTGATAAAAAAAAAACATATATATATATAAAGAATTTATCCACCACTTTCTCCCTGTGTGTATGTATGTACACTTCCCTTCCCCTTCTAAGTAATATGTTTAAAGTGTTATGCTACCGTAAACACATGTACGGGAATATCATAGGAACCCGTTGACAGAACTTCAACTCTAACAGTCCAGCTGAGTCTGTCTAAAAAAATATATGATAAAATCCCTTTCTTTTAATTTTTTTTGTTTTTTTCCAACATTTTTCTGTTACTTTCCCAAAGAATAATAGGGAATTAGATTCTACTCATTGTAATTAAAGCACATACTGTTTACAAGACCCCATGCCTACAAGCTGGTATGAGTAGCTTTAATTAGCTAAACAAATTTATTCAAAAGACAGATTTTTAAGGCACCCTTTAGTAGTAACTGGTAGAGCACAGGTGGGCAAAGTGCGGTCCGCGGGCCACATGTGGCGCCCCCCCCCACCGACAGTAATTTTTTGCAGCCCGCAAAAATGAATTAAAAACCCTATGTGTGCGGCCTGCCAATCATCTTTGGCTAGAAAACACCTTGTTTTTTAAGGCCCGACACTGATTATCTGTACAAAGTTATATTAAAACTGAGCATTAAAACGGTATAAGAAGTGCACAAAGGTTTCTGGAAGTGCACTGGAAACATCAAAATTTGGGTGCACTCTCTCGGTGTAAAATCCAAAATTCATTTTAGCTCTCCAAACCATTTTTATGCCCACCTCTGTTGTAGAGGAACATGTGCTTTTCCATTACATTGAGTGGAACCTGTTCTCTATCCATACCTTTGGTACACGAATAGAATATAGATGAACTACAGTTGAGCTCTTCTATTATATATGGTTTCTAATCAACGGATGGTGCAGGAGGAGGTGGTGGAGGAGCCTGAAAAAAAAAAAAAAACAAGTAAAATTAAATTTGGTTTAGAAAAAGTATAAATCTTGTATTTTATCTTTAAAACATCTTTTCAAGAGGGCTGACATAATGGCCCTTGCTCTAGATGTGTTCAACAAACTAAACACACTCCTACTAATTAAATTGTAATAGATAATATAAAATTAATTATTATTAATTTATTATAAAAATTAAATTGTAATCAATAATATAAAAAGAAGGCATTATTCACTGTCATCATATTATATTTTGAAGTGATGTTAATTGAGCATATGGATGGATGGATGGATGGATGGATTTACTTAGTGTGAACACCAAGGTTAACCCACGGTTAACCCAGGTTTCATCTAAAAGACGGTGCGCTTTTGAAACTTGCATTTCAGCCCTCAAGCTAAAATATAAGGAGAGCAGCGATGGGAAATGAACCAGTGACCAAGAGATCTCCATGGCTTAGCGAAAATACAGTGGCTACCATCAGTTTAGCTGACTGAGCTAGCTAATCTCATAATAATTCACAATTAAGTAAACTTACTTGATTTCTTGGTTTATCATCTCCTCTGTTTCTCATTGAGTTTGGTCGCATCAGAAATAGAACAACCGCTAGTACAACCCAACCCATCAGCAACATCATGAAGTTGTAACCACCATCACTTTCCGGTGATGGTACTGTGATACAGATGGAAAATGAAGAAGATAAGTTTTTCAAAATATAATTTATTGGTTGACCCTTTTTTATAACAAAAATACTTGTGGTACACAATGACTATTGAAGCAACTCAATCAAAACAGTTGAGACATTCTCAACAAATACAACAGTTCCTTTCAGAGCTATCTATCTTGTGTACCACAAGCATTTATTATTATTATTATTATTATTATTATTATTATTATTATTATTATTATTATTATTATTATTATTATTTGTGATGCAAACCTTCAAACAGCAGATTTTATTTATTTATTATAAAATGTATTTACAGAGCCCTTTAACTTAATCATTTGCAATGGCTGACAATAGGTGCTAGGTGTGCAATTGAGAAACAACATGCATCTAATGTTGTTTATTTATTTATTGTATTTTGTGTGGGCGACACTTACAGAGCATGTTTGATGTTTAGGGATCCACTTCAATACACGAATACCATAAAACCTCGAAAAGAAGTCCATCTTAAATTAAAGCCCACCTCTTCAGTTTGCAAAATTTCCCTCGAAAAGAAGCCCATCTCGAAAAGAAGCCCATGGGCTTCTTTTTAAAATAGCATACATTAGGCTTCATTTCGAGGTAGTGTAGTACAGTACATACACTGTACATAAATTTCAAAGAAACAAAATAAATTAGGTGATTTAATGAAGGTTAATACACTCCATGATACAGATTGATGCTAGTGTCCCATATTGTTTATAGTACTAATTTCCAAAATTTATAACATTCATTTCACGATACAAAGAACGCTAGGAGAGGTTGAAAGCTTAAATCAATCCTAGAGCGAGCAGGAGACCGTCACAATTAGTCAATTCTTCCGGGAATCATTTAGACACTAAGCAACCACCAAACACAGTACTGTACGCAAGGCCTTCCCTTCTACGTTAATACGCCAACTTTATCTCAATAAAGTCAATGACGGCCAGATATTCCCAGCAGGGAATGGTTAAATATAATAATAATTTTGAAAAGAAGCCCCCCCCCCCTTTTTTTAATTTGCAAAAGTGGCCTCGAAAAGAAGCCCATCACGAAAAGAAGAAAAAAAATTTGCAAAAAAAAAGAAGCAGCCCAAGTCTTCGAGGTTTTATATTATTTATATAAAAATATAGCCTATCTACCAATTTAAAATTATATCTCAATACGACATACCATCATCGTATATATAAACTTACAAATAATGAATGTGAATAAAAAACAAAATTTTAAATCATCAAGTAAAATATGGAAAGGAATGTACATGATATAAGAGAATCCAAAGCACTGGATGTATAGGACTTTAAAATATTTAAAACAAATTTAACTCAAAGATATCTTACATATGGCCATTCTAACTATAGTTAATTTTTAAAAAATGTGTCTACTTTATTATTTTTAATTATTACTCAATGCAAATTTAGTTTGACGACATCATTCAGACATGCACAATATCAATATTTGTAAATTGGATATTGTTGTATTAATCAGCATAATATTATCATGGTTGAATTGGAAACTGATGGGACATCTAACAAAACATATGGCATTGCTAATAACTTACAATTTATACATTCATTTTCTGTACAGGTCGTCTGTGAATTACGCAGCTGTGAAGCAAAACAAACAACGTGTCAGTAGGATAGAGTGTAGTTACTATATATAAGTGATACACACATATATTATATATATATGTATGTATATATATATATATGTATATATATATATACATATACTATATGTATATGTATATGTATATATATATATATATATGTATATATATATATAAACAAATTGATAAATAATAATAACAGTGCTGTTTGATGAGCTATGCTTTAAACGTCCTATTTGAGCATTGTTATTATTATTTATCTATTTATTTAAATTTGGTATACGGTGCTATGCAGTAACATATGTTTATATGTACATGTATATACAGTATACGTAAAATGCAATGCAAATGAATACTCATAAACACATGATTTTGAACTTCATTCTAACAAATATTTTGACTACTCCTGTAGTCTTCGTCAAAGCCTGACATAAATCAAAATTCTGAGATAAATTAGTTCATTAAGTCTCACTGACAATGTCCTAAAGTATTCACTAAGTAGTTACATTTTTATATTTTGGAAACACATGTGTATCTTCTTCATAATACAAAAGTCTCATGAGGCTTAGAATGTCATGTTTTTAATTGTAAGAAAAAAATCCTCTACCATTAGAGGATTTGAACCCTCTACTATTAGAGGATTTGAACCCTCTACTATTAGAGGATTTGAACCCTCTACAATCAGAGGATTTGAACCCAGGACTTGGAAGGCAAGCACCTAAACCACCCACAGTATCTACATACATATCCTCTGCAATAAAATATTAGAAATTAGAATAATTTTTTTTTCTTGTCAAATGAAAAACATGTATGTTTTCCTATTTATTTTTAGATTATTTTTAGGTTTAATCACAAGCAGTATAGGCCTATCTTTGGAAAGTACCATATGGATGGATCTGATTCTTACTGGCTTGTCCCACTGGAATTAACATCAATATACAAAAAATATCCAGTAATGTTTAGTTATTAATGCTACATCAATTATCACAAGATAGATACTGTATACAGTGACATTATTATATGACAGTACTCAATTTGAATAACATTTGTGTAAAGTTATTCCTAATTTTTGAGTGAACTATTGTTATAAAAATATGGTTTTCATCCTCTTCCCAATCCGTTTTGGGGTCTCCTTTTTTCATTTAATTTCACAAGGCAAAACACCAATCGAATCCTAATAAAATGAAAGCATCCTCATATTATGTGCAATGAATTTTCATGTTGCTTAAAGCCCTATTCAAATTGTTACGTGGTTCGCCAAGAAAGAATGGTAAGTTTGACACAGGCCTAGATATTCTGTGTGTTGTATCATCTTTGTGAAGGTAAACAAAATGATTTTTCAACATTTAATGTACACATGCATCGGTGATAGAAATATACTCAAATATTTGTGATTTGTCCATGTATGTGGATAATGTTGCCATATCATACCCTATATTGGCATGGCAGTGTCATATCACATTTTCACATCTAAATATGGGCAAATAATAGGTTTTGTCACATAAAACCTGATAGTGTCTGGACAGATAGTATGAAGACTCTATGGTAACACCACAGAGCATGGTAATAAAGTATTATTATTATTATTTTACCTCCATGGGAAGACACTGTAAACGCAAAAAACCTTTTGATTGTTATGTAAAATAATGAATATGATAACAAAGCACAATGCATTGAGCATTCATGCAAACAAGCAATCAATAAGAATAACAAAGCTGTACTACAGTATCTGTCTACTCAATAAGCACACAGCAAAGTAGAAAACAGCACAAAAATACCATTAAATTTGTTATTAAAAGTTCAGGATAATGGTACTGTATACAGCACTACACCTTCCTATAGCATATAGATTTTATTGATTGAATTCATACATCAGGATTGTCTTATTAAAAACAGTATAATAACAGAAAGAATGCATGATATTTATAACAAAAATAGAGGAAATTAATATACTTTTCTACACTGTAGTCACTCTCAATACGAAAGTTATTAATTTTAAGGACAGAAAAGATTTTATATACTTTTATTCATTAATCTTATAAAAAATGCTACTTGGTATATATTTCAACTAAATCTAAAAACACATGAATAAATAAATAATTACCTCATAGAATAATTAGAGAACTAAAGGTCTCCATTGAGAACTACAATAAAATTATATTTGAAAATTGAAACCAATTTAAAAAAAAATAAATAAAAAAATCCAAATGAATAAAAACACATCAAGGAAATTTTATGAATTTTTCACCAAACACGTATCATTACAAGGATGCAAGATAATCATACATGACTTACCAGCGATATTAGTCGCCGCATAGCGCCCTCACGGGACCATATACACTCGCACGGGTCATATCCTCCTTCGGCCATTATTGTAATGAGTACATGCAAAACAGAATCTGTCACAGTAAGATATGAATAAAAGGCTTAGCATATCAATAAAGTTCCTTGGGTATACTGTAAGCTCACCCCCTCCTTTATACCTAATTTTACAAACCAGCCCTTCATCGGGAAAAAGCCCAGGACTTGGAGAGAAACTTTGCCTATACAACAATATAATACGTTCCTGCAAGCTAATAAATGATCACTGGCCATATTAAGTCCAAACCATACAGGCCTTGAGACTGTGTTGGTTGATATTAATCTTACTTTAATACCAGCATTACTGGACTACATAGTATATAAGGGCTAAACAGGATGTTGGTTTGTTAAGATAAAAATATTAGGCACAAAAAAGTTATACACTATATAATATTTGCATTTTTATAGCACATCATGCAAAAAAAGCCTATGTGCTTGGTGACTGAGCTCTTTGAAAAAAGTTGATGTCATCCTATAAAACTAAACCTACTCCTTTAAAACTAAAGCAAGGTTGGCAGTTGGCTCCGAAAAGTTCATTCACCCTTTGTTCAACTGTTTTTTTCCCCTTGTTGCTGGGTGTCCATCCACCCTCTCATCGGCAGCCGCTAAAGACTACCATACAGGGTATGTGGTTGCCAGAATCGTATTGCTAATTGGTATGGTTCCTGCCTCTTGCACGCCAGGGGCCAGGTTCGATACCCGGCTCTGTGTCGAGTATTGAATTTGGGTCTTTTACAATAACAAAAAACGCTCAGCTCCTCGAATAATCCTCTCAGGAGAGTTAGGCGAGTTAAGGACCATGTTTGTATCTGTTTATTTAAGGCATTAATTTATAATTTAGCATCGGACCTGCTTACAGGCATATTCCCTTCTTGGTTTCAGTATTGTACCATAGGTGGTGGTGTACTGATCCATACAGCCCCTGTTGTGGACAGATGAGAGTAGCTACAGTAGTAACGGGTTACTGGGTAGCTCAGACACGAAGAGACCCTTGTTGGGGGGGGGGGGGAGAAGAAAGTTACTCTATGAGCTAGTCCACGCTTCGATCACTTTGAGACTCAGGTGTAAAACGCTATATAAATCCAACTATTATTATTATTATTGTTATTAAAAATATGCCTGAATGTGGTATGGTTAACTTCAAGACGAACAAAGACCTGCCAATGTTGTACTTCTTTGTGTCCTAAGGGAAGACACTTCTTTGGATGGGGCGTTAAGCCTGTGCGTATATTATTTGGTATGGAACAAAAAAAGAACTCTGTACACTATTAAAAAAGAGTAGGAGATTGGTCCCCCAGTGTACCGAACATGGCATTGCACTGCACAGGGGTGGATTTAGGTGGTGCGCTGGAGCAACCCTGGGGCTCCCCCCCACCTTTTGGAAAGTAAAAAAGGAAAAGAAAGAAAAAGAAAAAAATGATCGCCCAAAACGCCTGAGAGGTTATTTTTGGGTGTCAGAAAACAAAAATTTCATGGGGGCATGCCCCTGGACCCCCTAGGGTGGTGTTATGTCAATCAACCCATTTTTGGCCCCCCCCCCCCTTTTGGACATCTCTGGATCCGCATCTGCTGCAGTCATTGCAGGTCTCAATGCAAATTTACATTTTAACATTTAAAATCAACCAAAGCCAAATTCTACTAAAGCCTACAGACTAGAGTATACATATTGATTGTAAGTGTATACAGCATGTTTGCAAAGAACAGATTATCAACACATTAGTATGCCCCTCCTCCCACTAAACACTCTCTTACCCTTTTTCACAAAGCAAAATTCATTTGTTGACATTTTAATTAATTTAAATAATAATATGGTCTCCAAATTTACATAAAACAAAGAGTCATGATGCATACAAAAGAAAGGTTTGGCAGAGCATAAGATCTACCTGTATGTGGCTGTGAAATCTGTCAGATTGTGTTTGACTGAGAAACACAACTTCAACATACATTAATACTTATAAAAAAGCAACAGTTGATGGTTTTATAGGCCCTTTTAATGTATAATATTAAATTAGAAACTGACTGTAATACAGACTGTTAAAAAGCCCTGTTGTAACATCATATAGTATAGTATTTTTAAGCTCCTGATTGGAAAAACAAAGCAGACAATAGATTTTCAAAATTGTAAGCTGTCGGTCAGGCTTTGACAAACATTTTTTTTTAATTACTAAATTTATGTCTATCTCATCAAAATATAGCACATGTTTCTAGCAGAGATAAAACCACCTTTGCTGGGACAAGCTCATATAGTAAAATTAAGTGCAGGTCTCCCTCCAATTAAAGACCACTTTTGGGACCAGGGTTTCCAGTCTTTAGCAGCTTTGGTCTCTAATTAGAATAATAAAGATAAAAGACATTTGTTAATTTGGGACCACTGAAAAGTGGTCTATAATTGGAGGTGGTCTTTAATTAGAGGGGTATTTAATTAGAGGGGGACCTGTAATTGCAAAATGTAAACAAAAAATGCAAGATTCACTTACCAACTGAAAATTCTTGACTTTGGTTAAAAACTTAAAATTTCCCAAACTAGATACCTGTTGAATAATCAATAAGAAGAGAACTGCAATTTAACCAAAATTCTTACAAGTCATGAAATCTGAAATTCTCGAAGAATTTCATCTGGTTGAATTATGAGTAGTTGCAGAGCCTCAAAGCCATAAGGATGAGTTACCATATAACATTGTTGATAAAAATTACTCAGTGTGAACCAATCAGGAAGCACCAAGTAGCGTTAGCGACACCAATCAGTTAGTTTCCCACAATCAGTATTGTTACTGTACTGCAATTATTAGACCATCTTAGTGAGATGCCTGCGATCCACAATCCTTCGCCATGTGTTAAAATATATGAATCAAATCAATCAAATTAAATTACTGGTACCATTAATTTATTTACCATTATTTATACTGTTATAATTCATAATTAATAGTATTGCTATGAGGAACAATATACAAATTAAAATAATTTAGATATTATATCATCATCTATATCACTATTTAATAATTATTTCATTAAAATGGTAGTGGTATTATTATTTTATTAATTTATTTTTGTCAGTGTTGAGTGGATCTCCGAGATTTAAAAAAAGATATGTAATACATATTATAAATTATCATTATGTACAGTAAAAACAAAGAATGATAATAACTAGTAGAATATTTTTAAAATTTTCTCATATTTTATTTCATTGTAGGACGTTATTAGGATTTTTATTTCATTGTTTAGAAAGATCGCATCCTCAAGTCAGCACTGCTGTTAGAGCCACCCTCTCAAATGGTTGTCAAATAAATACACTAGAGCAGTCATTCCATAATGGTGCATACCTCGCCCTGTGCCTGAATAACAATTTATGCAGGCTGGGTATGCAAAGTTGCAGCATACCCTAAATGAAATAATGGAATTGACCTCACATTCATTGCACATTGTTTTCTTGAGCACTGCCTGAATACGAGGGGTGATTCCATTATTTTCTTTTATGCTTGAGGTAAAAAAATCAAATTGTCTTGTCCTTGACCTTTTCTTCTGAAAATTGAATGGTGTTTTTATTTACGTACCATTCCTCTATGGGCCTGTTTCTGCTGCTTTTCCTAAAAATATGGTATAAAATATATCATATAATACGGTATCTGAAATCCAGCGTCCCGTTTCTGCTAAAATTACTTCTTGGGTGGTCTTGTTTAAAAGGTCCTCTTTTACCCAAAATGTCTTTTGTGAGACAGAAGTTTGGATTGACCTGTGATAGTGAGTTTTTTTTTTTTCTACTCGCGATAAACATGGTTTCTTTAAAGAACGTTGTAATTTTAGTTTCATCTATAATTAAAAGTTGCAACGAAGGAAGTTTTACACCCCAACTTCTGCTACAGCCTAGAAATTATTGGTGTTATTTAGGATTGGCTATATCATAGTATTTTCAGTCCACATTTCGCATTATTTTTCGCTTTTCCACGACAGAAAAATCAAAACAACCCGCCCGCGTTATGCTCTAGCTTTTGACGTCATGCCAGGAGTAGGCACAAAATATTTATTGGCAGCAGAAATGGGGTATGAAAAATACGATATCTGTTGCAAAATACCGGAATAATTCCACAAAGATAGTGGGGAAAAATACGGTATAAAAAAATATGGTATATTTTTATGAGCCCCGTTTCTGCTGCAAAAAAATATACTGTATTTTTAAAATACCGTATATATACGGTATTTTTTTGGCAGCAGAAACAGGCCCTAAATGTTATGATGATCCATTCATTAGTTTTTGTGTAATCTTGCTAACAGACAACAGTGAATATATAAACCTCCTTGGCGGAGGTAATAAATGAGAAAGAAGAGCAAATAAAAGGAATTTTAAAATTTGTACTTGAAGAGTTATAATCCAAAGAATTTAAGAATAATTCATTGTTTTATAAAATATACAAGTATCAAGTGGTAATGAGCCTCAGTGTATTTCAAGTGTCCTAGTGAAACAACAAAAAGTGTCCCCTTAGAGTACACGACCATTGGTGTCTTATGAATAGTATTAAGCTATAGTGTTAAAAGATATATTTTCCCTCATTTCCATTGGTTCCCCTAAGGGGTGTCCCAAAGTAGGACCGGGTTTTCTGTATTCTATTTAGAAGCATGCCTTATTAATTAGTCAACCTCTGGTATTAAATTATATAACAATGCACTGAGGATGCTAACTGGGAAACTGTATGGAGCCGAGCTGGGAAAATGTATACACATCATAGGCCTAGGATTATATAATAATTATTTAATCATTGTCTTTATCATTTCACAAAGACTGATTGATTGATATTTGGATCATATTGAATGATCAGCATAAAAGTCAAGCCCATGGCCAAGGGGCTTGACTTGAGGGGTTCAAAAGAATCCCTTTTTCCATGCCCTCTAATTAAATTATTAATTAAATGTACGGTTTGCATGGAAGGTGTTGAAATTAACTACAAATATTTAATATTTGAAAAGGTGGGTGTGGACTCCAACCCCGTGGGGCTCACTCTTAAATATTTCTATAAGGGTAGGTGCCACATTTACGGGGGTATTTTTGAGGACTTGGTAGCAAGTGTGGGAATTTATGGAAGAGTTTCAGCATGTATAGGGTATATTTGCAAGGACTTGGTAGCACAAGTGTGGGAAATACCTAGGTAAAATTGGTAGTTAAAATCATTGCTCCATTCCGTATCAAATTTTTCACATGATTTTAGCGAAGAATTTTTTTGCTAACCTCCGTGCTAAACCTACTGTTGATACATAACCGCGAACAGTAGGGATCGCAAACAGACAGAACCACGGTCTTATTCGACATCGGGAACAGTACAAGTTTAATTTGGTAGGTTACATGACCGTAAAGTAGTTCAACCGACACCGGATTTTGGTTAGTTCAAGTCCCTAAAAATTTTCAGTAAATTGAAAAAGGTAGCGCAAGTGTCTCATTCCTTAGAGTGGCTGCTGCACCCCCCCCAACCCCTAAGGTTGGTATACAAGTAAGCTCCCCAGGACTCCAACCAAGTGCCCTTTTGTGAAAAATTGAAATCCCCTTAGAAATCCTGCCTGCAGTTGAGGTCTAGGCCCTAGCCATAGAAGGCATAGGCCTAGCCTAGATCCTGATTTCTTGGCCTATTCTAATCTATGCATAGGCCTACATTATTGTATTTCCTGAACGTTACACATGACAATCAATTGAGTGTTTGAGTACAGCTATTCGCATGGCCTGACCGGTGACACTGTCATTAGACAGAGCCACCATAGTATTACTAACCTAACCCCAGCCACAGAGGCGCGACTAAGTAAAGTAAAGAAAGGCCTATTATTAGTACTATATAGTAAGAATAGGCTTAAGCCTGCCAGCCTATGACATATTTAGCCTAGCCTAGGCCTATATTATTGTGTATGCATGCCATGACATGATGATGCAACACAACACAGCCACACATTTATTATATCAAAGCACGCAAACTGATTAGACAATATAGGGTAATAGATATTAAAAGGTTTTTGTTTGAGTGTACTTACCTAATTTATATAAACAAAGTGTAGGGCCTACAGCAAGTACATTAAAACACCAGAGAAGCCACACCAGCAGTCTGTCTGATCGGGAAGTACTCAAACAACAACAGCATAGAGAAAGACATCGGACACGAAGCAAAACATCACACATCAGCCAACCAGATCGATGAAAAGTTACCTTTGACATGCGCTGTCAATATTTTATTTATCTTTGATCGATCGATCGATTAATCGATTGAATTTGTTTAGTATCTTTATCATCACATTTAATATGCAATATATAATATAAAAATCATCTTTTCAAAGGTTACAAGTTACACAATATTAAGAACAAATAAGGCCTATACTGTACTTTTTAATGAAAAGACAGAAGGAAGAAATCGGATACACTGAGAGATTCAAAGCCGGGCCTATTCAAGGTAATTCCATTGTCTGAAAAACTCAGAAATTACATTCCATAAGAACATATACAGTAATAAATAAAAGATAACCAAGAATATAGAAATTAAAACTATGAGCACCAAACAATATCTATTCATAAGATAAAGAGTACCATAGGCCTATACAAACAATATTGCAGATAATTACATTGGGCCAACAATTTCACTTTAACAACAATTATCAATTAACATTATTATTATGAAGGTGAATGGAGTTGGGAACGAAGGAGTTTCTATAAGGCAACGTGTTGTGAATGGTTTAGGCGGAAACCAGAGAGTAAACTCATTATGTAGTGGATGCATGAGTTGTGTCGTTCATTATTTTCTGATGTTTCTTAGCTAATGCGCATTTGTCATAAATATCATCTAAATAATATATACAATATCTTCTTCAGACTTACAGATTGAGTCTAATGTCTTTTGTTTTGTTAGGCTGTTATATGTACAGATTAGGCAGTAAGTTAAAACGCTCTGTATTTTTATTACTTAATAAAACAAGATAATGATGGTGTCTACATTAAGCGGAAGTTTTCTAATACAGTCTTTGCTTTCCTTTTGTCCCAATGATGGTCTTTAGAGAGATATAACTGAAGGAAGAATAGAAGGAAAGGAGCCTCGACGAAGAGAGTAAATGACTTGAAAGAAACAAATGAAAAGTTAATCATATGATAGAGAAAATTGGAGGAATTATTAACTGCTGTGAATCTGCCAATAGGTGCTGATGACAACAGGCCTATTGTTTTTGTTTTTTGTTATGTTTTTATGCGCTATTATACTCTTTAGTTTTTAATACTTTGTTACGGTATCATGTTATGTTCAGAATTCATCATGATTTTAATCTCTTTGCTGATGTGGACTTACTTTTACAAAATAGAGCCCTTAAATTAGAGGCATTTAAGGGCGGACCAAAAGCGGCGTTATAGTAGGCTGTTATAGTAATTATAAACACAAAAATGTAGGTCTATTTTATATGATCTGATATATATATATAATATAGACTACAAATTTAAGTAA